AGGGAAGTGTACTTACTAAAATTAGATTTGCAGGTTTATTTCTGAATAAACATCATTCAGGATGAATAACAATTTAATGGGCTCTGTTTTTAGTGAGGAGGAGTACAGTGTGTGCTGGTGCGGGGGCTACCCGTCCCTTTCCACCACACTTCCGACCATACTGGATTTAGGCAAAGCTGGCTGGGGTGAGCTCAGCGGGGGGATGGTGACGGTGATACTGAATGCAGCCAGCACTGGCAGAACCTCACACCAGGTTCCTGCTGTCCTGGCAGGTTGGGGGCAGACACGCCACCCAGCCTGGTCTGAGCGACAGTGAAGGTTTCAATGTCACCTCCTCCTCTGGGTGCCAGCAGGGCATCCCAACCTGCCTATGGAGCACAAAGCCGCTCTTCACCAAGGAGGGAAAAATGTTCCCTGCCAAGCGTGGGTTCATGACAGTGATCTCGAGGGATGGTGCCTGAAGTCAGGGAGCTGAGCCTGACCCTCCCAGCCAGGGGGTGTGCGCAGCGGGGCGTTTCGGCAGGAGCCCAGCTCCTCCAGGCCTGCCGTGGCCAAACCTGGGCTCTGAGAAATCCTATTCAAACAGCGCAACGAGCAGCTACTGATTAGTCACGCACTATGCCGGGATTATTTTCCTCAGCTGCAAAAAGAGGCTGGGAGGCCCCGTGGGGGCACACACACCCCCTTCACCTCCCCACCCCCAGCCCTGCCACTCTGCACCCCACAGTGCACCCTACAAAACCTGGATCAGCTGCACCATGTGCTGGTCACTGTCGAGTCCCGAAAATAAAGCACTGGACACTCCAGTGATCTCTGTGTGGTAGAAGGTGCTGGTGTTTAACCAGCAGGTAGCACCTGTGCTGTCCCACCAACGCGGTGAGATCCCCGAACATGGAGGCTTTCACTAGTGTTGGTGGTGACTTTTGAGTTTCTTCAGCTAAATGCACAAGGTGCATTACAAATAGCATTCTTTTTTTTCTGCCCTGAGGGTTTCCTGGGCCCGGTGGCAGACAAACCTTGGCTAACTTGGCCACCGAGCCGCTGGGCAGCAAGATAGCGCTGCTGGAACAGCTCCACGGGCGGGTGATTGTGCAGGAACATGGGCTTGCACCAGAGCATCTTGCAGCCCCATGGCAGGGCAATGCCGCTGCTGCTCCCATCCCTGCATGGGTCCAGCTGTGGCTTCGGAGGACAAGTTGGCCCTCACCTGGGCTGCGCTGCTGGCCCCGTGTGTGTGTGTTACCCCGGTGCCAACGTGTACTCCCTAAGCATGTTGGGTCACTGGTGCGTGGCAGAAAGGGAAAGGGAGGTGGTGGCACCTGGCTGGGTGTCCTTAGTCCCCAGCTCCTGGAGAGGGTGGGGAAATACTGCTTGTTGTCACTGCTCTGTGGGGTTTATAGGAGCTGACCACTGCACACCCCAGGGGAACTGGAGTGGCACCCCGAGTGTGCTCACCCCGAGAATGATGCCGTGAAGCGGGGCACACCCCCGTGCAAGGGTCCTGCCCTGCACCAGGAGCTCCCCTAGCCCCGGGGGGGCTCTTGGGGTCCATCGGTGCCACACGTGGGAAAAACATGGACCTGTTGGAAAGGGTCCAGAGGAGGGCCACAAAAATGATGAGAGGGCTGGAGCACTTGTGGTGTGAGGGCAGGCTGAGGGAGTTGGGGTTGTTCAGCCTGGAGAAGAGAAGGCTCCAGGGAGACCTTATAGCGGCCTTCCAGTACTCAAAGGGGGCCTACAGGAAAGATGGGAACAAACTTTTTAGCAGGACCTGTTGAGATACGACAAGGAGTAATGGCTTTAAGCTAAAAGAGGGTGGATTAAGACTAGATAGAAGGAAGAAATTTTTCACAGTGAAGGTGGTGAAACTCAGGCCCAGGTTGCCCAGAGAGATGGTGGCTACCCCAACCCTGGAAACATTCTGGGTCAGGTTGGACGGGGCTTTGAGCAACCTGATCTAACGGAAGGTGCCGCTGCTTGTGGCACGGGGGGGGCCGGACTCGATGGCCTTTAAAGGTCCCTTCCAACCCAAACCGTTCTTTGATAAACCCCCTGCTTCATTTGCCAGCCCCGGCTGGGCGAGTACGGGGTACGGCCGTCGGGGAAGGGGAGCCCCG